ACAATCTGTGAATTACTCACTTTATGCTCTATTGCGTTCACTTTGATTTTTTGTGTGTTTGAAATGAAGAACGGATGCTCCTATTTATAGTAGAAGATGTTGTCCTTTGCAACCAATCATATTGTTTTCTCTTTGCAATTTGCATTTGCAAGTTGCAGATCTTGTTACCAAGTTGGTTGCCAAGTCTACGTTTGTGAAAACCAATCTTTTCTTTATTCTTTTTCATTTAGTTCTTTTGTTTTAATTGGTCCCACAAATCTCTCCCTTAATTTTGATTTTTCTTCTTCATTCCAAGTCTTGATCTCAATCTCTAAAAATCTTCAAACTTGAGAGGCTTTGTAAAGATATCCACGGCTTGATCATGAGACTTCACATATTTGAGTTTGACTTTCTTCTTGGCAATGCATTCTCTGATGAAGTCATACCTTGTATCTATATGCTTGCTTCAATCATGATACACTGGATTCTTCGCGAGTGCCTGTGCGGATTTGTTATCAATACAAATCTCTGTAGCTTCAATTTATGGCAAATTGAGCTCCTTCAACAATCTTCTCAACCAAATAGCATGACATGTACATGATGTTGCTGCTATATATTCAGCTTCACAAGTCGAGAGAGTAACTATGGACTGTTTCTTTGAACTCCAAGAAATAACAGAATCACCCAAGAAAAACACAAAACCGGTTGTGCTTTTTCTATCATCAATATCTCCCGCATAATCACTATCACATAATCCCATAAGGTTGAAATCATTAGAAGAAGAATAAAATAGCCCAAAGTCAATTGTACCTTTTAGGTAGCGAAGAATTCTTCTAGCGACTTTCAAATGAGTGGAGGTAGGAGCTTCCATAAAGCGGCTTACTACTCCAATTGCAAAGAGTATATCTGTTCTGGTACAAGTCAAGTACCTCAAACTTCCCACAAGACTTTTGAAAAATATAGGATCCACTTTTTCTCCTTCATCAAACTTGGACAACTTTGTCTCACTCTCCATCGGTGTGTTCACCTGATTGCAATCGAGCATGTTGAACTTCTTCAATATCTCTTTTGTATATTTTGAGAGATAAAAATTCTATCCTCTATCTGATTCACTTCTAGGCCTAAGTAGTATGACATGAGCCCTACGTCCGTCATCTCGAACTCACATGGCATATCTTTCTTGAAAGCTTCAAACAAGCTTGTGTTATTACCCGTAAAAATAAGATCATCAACATAAATACAAATAATCAATATATCTCCATTAGTATGAACTTTAAGATAAAGAGCATATTCATGGAGACAACGAGCAAACCCATTGTCTTGAAAATACTTGTCAATGCGACTATTACATGCCCGTGGAGCTTGCTTCAATATATATAAAGCTTTCTTCAACCGCAACACTTTATCTTCATGGTTTTTAACCACAAAGCCCAATGGTTGTTCAACATAGACTTCTTCTTCAAGATATCCATTCAAGAAGGCTGACTTGACATCTAGTTGATGGATCTTTCACTTCATTTGCACCGCCAAAGAGATCAACAAATGAATCATCTCCATACGGGAAACAGTTGCATAGACTTCTTCATAGTCAATGCCTTGCCTTTGCTTTTAGCCTTTAGCCATAAGTCGTGTCTTGTATTTCTCCACATCTCCATCAGCATTCTTCTTTATTTTGTATACCCATTTTACTCCAATTGCTCGATGACCCTTGGGAAGAGTTGTTAACTCCCAAGGGTTGTTCTTCTCTATTGACTCGATCTCCTCTTCCATGGCTTGTCTAAACCTTTTGTATGTAACATCTCATCAAAGTTCATTGGTTCACTATCAGCAAAGAGACAATATAAAAAATCAAAATTAGTAACTTCTTTTGTGTCATCATAGAGCTCTTGAATACTCATCGTTCTTTGTGGTTGTTCATTTGAACTTTGTTGAGAAGAAGGAGATGAAACATTGGTTGGAGAAGAAGGTGGATTTGTATCATGCACAGGTTTTACAGTCTCTGCTTCTTCTTCATCCGCTGCTTGGTTGTATAAGTTGTAGCCTTTTGAGCTCGTATCATAGCCAACAAACACATGCTTGACTCTTTGATCGTCAAGCTTCGCTCTCCCTTGCTGTGGCACATGAGCATAGGCTATGCTCCCAAAAATTTTCAAATGCTTGACACTTGGCTTTCCTCTACTCCATGCTTCTTGAGGAGTTTGATCTCAAATATTTCTTGTTGGAGACCTGTTGGTCAAATAAACTGCACAAGAAACAGCTTCAGCCCAAAATTTCTTGGGCATACTTTTAGCTTTCAACATACATCTAGCCATATTAAGAATCGTTCGATTCTTTCTCTCTGCAACTCTATTTTGTTGGGGTGAATAAGGTATCGTTAGAGGGCGACGAATTCCATAAGACTGACAAAAGTCATTACATTCTTTTGAAATGAATTCGCCTCCTCTATCGGCCCTTAAAGCTTTATTTCATAGCCTGTTTCTTTTTCTACAAGTACTTTAAAATTTTTAAAAGCAGCAAAAGCTTCAGATATTTGGTTCAAGAAATAAACCAAAGTCTTTCTGCTAAAGTCATCAATGAAAAGCAGAAAGTATTTACTTTTACCAAGGGAAGGTGGATTGATTAGTCCATACACATCAATGTGAACAAGCTGGAGCGACTTGGTTGATCTTGACATGACCTCCTTTGAAAAACTTCTCCTTGCATGTTTTCCAAGAAGACAAGCTTCACACAATTGATTGGGATGGTTGATTAATGGTATCCCATGCACCATGTTCTTTTCTCCCATTGATTTGAGTGCTTCAAAATTCAAGTGCCCAAATCACATATGCCAACACCATGATTCATCTTGCACATTAGACTTCAAAAACTTTGCATCAATTGTCTTAAGATTCAGAGAAAATAATCTGTTCTTTACCATATACGCTTTAGTAATAAGAATTTCACTTGAATCTCTAAGCCAAAGATGCATATTTTTCATGTGGATGTCATATCCCTTTTCAAGAAGTTGGCCCAAACTCAAAATATTACTTTTTATTTTAGCACATAATAAACATCTTGAATTAAATTGTGGCCACCATTTTTACAGGAGATTAGAATCATACCAATCCCTTCGATTTGAATCTTTGAGATATCTCCAAAAGACATATTACCTCTCACCGACTTATTGATCTTCACAAACTTGTCTTTGCATCCACACATATGATTGCTTGCTCCATTTTCCAAATACCACAAGCTACAATCATCCACGTCTTCTTCTTTGAGTGCCAACAATAATATTGACTCATCTTTTTCCTTCTTGTCGTCAACAAGGTTAGCTTTCTTTTCAACATCGCTACGACATTCCCAAGAGTAACAGGCAAATTTATGACAATTATAACACTTAATTTTTTATTTGTCATACCTTTGTCCATTATTTTCTTGGTAGTATCCACGTCTTCTTCCTCCTCTTTGTCAACGACCACGACCTCTAAATGTTTGGTGGATTTTAACTTCAGTGTTGAAGTTGTTACCATTACTTCTTCCTTTTTCATGATTTTCACGGCCTCATCCTCGTCCATTCCCTCGATAGCTCTTTTCACCTCCATAATCCATAAAGGATGCATGAGTTTTAAGAAGTTGCTCCAGCGGCACTTCTTTTCTCCTCTTGATCTTTTCTTCATGTGCCTATAAAGAACCCTCCAATTGCTCCACTGTCATAGAGTCTAAATCTTTAGACTCCTCAATAGCACACACTACAAAATTAAATTTAGGTATTAAAGTACGAAGAATTTTTTATACCATGCGGACATCTTCTATGTCCTCCCTCTATCTTCTTAATTGATTCACAACAGCCTTTACTTTTGAACAATAATCCGAAATGCATTCGGATTCTTCATTTTTTTTAAAATCAAAATCAGCCCTTAGAATTTGAAGTCTTACTTTCCTCACCTTGTCAATTCCTTGGAGAGAATTTTGTAAAATCTCCCAAACTTCTTTTGAGGTAGTAGCATCTGCCACCTTTTCAAATATGGCATCATCCAAATATTAGTGGATGAGCGTGAGGGCTTGTTGATCCTTCTTTCTTGTCTTTACTAAGACATCTTTTTCATTTTGAGGTAAAGCTTGCTCATTATCGGGTTTTGCATATCCTCTGTCTATGATTTCCCATACATCCTGGGAGCCAAGAATGGCTTTCATGTGTAGACACAATTTCTTATAATTATCTTTATTGAGACGGGTGTATTGAAAAGACACCGGACCATTACTCGCCATGGAACCACGTTGTTGGGAAAAAATAATATCCCGCCCAGGAATAATATCCACGATAAATAACAATAACACAAGAGTGTAACAATGACACCAAATCTTGTAACGGGTAAAATACAATATCCGAGCGGAGCAATATAATATTACAACTTGGTAGTGTCAAGAGACTATTACAACTTCAAAAGAAATATCACTCTTTATTTTAAACATCACACTACGACATTACTCTCACTCTCTATTTATCTCACAGACTACAATATGTGGATTACTCTCTTTATACTCTATTGCGTTCGCTCTGATTTTTGGTGTGTTTGAAATGAAGAACGGATACTTCTATTTATAGTAAAAGATTTTGTCCCTTGCAACCAATTAGACGTATGTGAAAACCAATCTTTTCTTTATTTCTTTTGTTTTAATTGGTCCCACAGAAGTTATATATCATCCCAAATTATATTGAATTTGGAGTAATTGTTTTGACATTGTATAAATGATTAAGAGGTGAGTACCGATCACAAAGAGCTTTGATCGGGTTAAATCGTTCAAGAACACAACTTGATGGTTCAATTCCTTCAGAATAGGTGTATCACAATCTCTTAATTTATGAGTTACGGAGTCTATTCAGACTAATCTTTCTGGTATGTCAACCTTGAATTCTTGAATTATTCATACAATCACTTCTCCAGCAGAAACTGTACCAGTACAGAACTATTGCCATTTTTGGATCGTTGAACCCCAATTAAACAATGGTTGCCCCTGAGATGAAGTGCCTCACAATCTCAAATCGAAAGTTGTTACTCTGAATTAATGGTTTTTTTTTTTCAATTTCACAGACACTTGTACCTAAAGCTCCTAACAAGAAACTAATTGTATTACAAGCCTAGTGTGTTCCACCAAAAAATTTCAAAGAATGAAGGATACTCTAAACAATAACAAAAGGGAAGAAAAACAAGAGACATGTTCTGCTTTAACAGAAAAGAGAAAAGGGTGCTTTTAGAGTATTAACATATGAAAAATCATCAACATTTAGGAAGATCAGCTGGTGGAGGAGGTAACTTCTGCTTGGGACCTTTTCCATCCATAACCATCCATGCCATTTTCAAGCCCCAACTTGTGTGAACTTCAAGATGACAATGCATGAACCATACTCCTAAAAATTCATATACAACATTCATAAATATCATGTCAAAAAAAAATTTCAACTAAAAATAGACTTTTCAACATCTAAATTCAAATTGTAAAAGGGCACCCCGGTGCACTAAGCTCCCGCTATATTGTGTGGGGGCACGGAAAGTGTCAGACCACAAGGGTCTATTGTACGCAACCTTACCCTACATTTCTACAAGGGTCTGTTGATTATGCTTTGTGCACTGATATGTAGTGAATTTTTACACTAGCTTTCAGGTTAAATTGACATGCAATAACATGTAACTTCCGTAGACTTCATATATGGTAACTTGAATGATAGAGCATTAACCTGCTATAACCGATTGAATTGCACTATCAGTATATATAACTTAAACTATAATTTAATACCTGGGTTGTCAGCAAGGAAGCGAATAGCGACCCAACCTCCGGATGGGACACCAACAGTGTTCCTTTCAGCAGGGTCAACAAGGTTGAAATTAGCAGTGTCCTTACTAGAATTATAATTTCCAAAACCTTGACCAACTACAAAGAAATTAAAACCATGGAGGTGAAGAGGGTGACTTTCAGCACTAATGATACTTGTATCTTGCATAACTAATTCCACACTTGTATTAAAAGGTAGCACCACAACTTTTGTGCCTGTGGTAACAAAAATGTTGGTTGGTGGATTTCCTGTGTAATTGAATTTAAATGGCGGATTGATTGGAAAATCTGTGGTATAAACACCTTTGGATTGGTTAAAAAAGTGAGATTGAAGAAGTGCTACATTTGGCTGAACAAAAGATACATTGTTAACAGAAGCTGCTAATTTAGTGTTATTTGGCCCTTGACATGTTTGGTTCTTAGGACATGGATTCAATCCTAATCCTACAGTGAAGAAAAACCGTTTATCAACTTTTTTAGGAACATTGGCTGGAAATTTTGCATTGGCTAAACTTCTTATTTTCTTGGCAAAACTTGTAGCAAAAGTTGTGTCATTGAATATAGGAAGTTTTGGATTTAACAGAGGAAATTTGCTGCTCTTGTTGGTGTTATTAGAGGATTGATGATATTCTAAGATTCCAGTGGTGGTGGAATTATCAAAGGCAGCAGGACCAGTGGCGTAAGGCCGAGCCGCCATGAGGAAGGTGGCATTAGGATGAAAATGTTTGGTTTTCAAGAGGACATTTGTGGTTTGTCCTGGCGTTATAAGAATTGTGTTGGTCTTGAATGGTTTCACATAAACCGCATCAACTTCTACAACAGTAAGGTTGTGATTTGCTATGCTGAAGAAAAGTTCATCATTCAGTGCAGCATTGACTAATCTCAGTAGATATGTCTTCCCTGGTTTCACCTTCAATTTGAATGTATCTGCAAAACGTATGAAAGTTCAGTTATTTTAATATGACAAAAATAGCTTTATGACTTTACTGTTACAATTACGTGACAAGAAAATACTTTTATGATTTTACTGTTATAGTGAGTAATTAAAGTTCGGTTACTATTCTATTGTACCTTTAGCAGAGCAATTGTAGAAAAGTCCAGGAAGACCATTGATGGTATAAGCATCAGAAATATTTGGAGCTCCTCCTGTTTGAAGGGCTTTACTAATAATTGTTTCTGTATCTGCCTTCCACCATTCACCTACAATCCATGCAAATACATATAAGTAATTTTGGTTAAAAGTTACTGTATGACAATAAAAAGGGCATCTCGCATTCTCACAGGGTCCGGGGAGGGGCCGCACCCTAACAGGGTGTGATATAGGCAACCTACCCTGATGCAAGCATCAATGGTTTATTCCACGGTTTGATCCCGTGACCTATAGGTCACACGGAGACAACTTAACCGTTACTCCAAGGCTCCAATTATACTGTATGACAATAGACTAATGAAATGAGTAGTGATATAACTGATTAATAATTAAGTTGAATATTACCAAAAAGAATGGGGATTTCCTTGAAGGGTTGTGGAAAAGGGTAAGCAACACCTTTCTTTGGAAGAATAACAATGGGTCCATAGAGTGTAACTCTCAGCCATGAGATGTGAGCATGCCAAAATAAAGTTCCTCTTTGACCAGTGATTGTGAAATTGTATACATAACTCTGCCCTGTCTGAATTGGGCATTGTGTAATATAAGCAGGTCCATCTGCCCATCCACTTCTTAGTTGTCTCACTCCATGCCTGGAGTCATGTAATGAACATAAACTTTTAGACTAAACACACTGCAGCCATAGGCAAATTGGTGTATTTGATATTTTGGTAACTCATTTTGTGGGCGTTTGGACATAAGAATTATGAAATTGTGGAAAAATATTCAATTTGAAAATTAGAGTTGTATTTGGACATGAATAAAATTTAAAATTGATTTTGAATTTTTGTGAATACTTTGAAGTGAAAATTTTGAAAAACCGTTTTTGGAGTTTTTTAAATTCCGAAAAATTCTAAAATTCAACTTCAAATGAAATTTAAAATTTATATGGCCAAACACTGTCAGAAAAAAAAAAATCTCTAAAAAAGAAAAACTTTTTATGGCCAAATGGGCCGTAAGCACATGTTTTACACTATCAACTTAATTAAATTTACCTGCAATACTAGGTAAAACGTTATGTAGTAAGTTTGGTATGATAACATGAAAAATAAAGTAACCACATGTTATAATCATTTAATTTATAGTGTAAAATTTTTTTTATGCTGTCAACGCTTAACTTTTGGTCAAAATGTACTACTCCTTAGGAAAGAAATAGCTTTCAATAGGAAATGTTGTTACGTACCAATGAATGGTGACATTGTACTGAACATGGTTAACAACCTTGATAACAAGTCTGTCTCCTTCTCTTGCAATAATTCTAGGCCCTGGAAACTGGCCATTCACTGTTACAATGCTCTTTGTTTGACACAATCTCGTCATATTTTGCATTTGAATCTGCAATTGCAGAGACATTTTATAAGAAAATTAGAAAAGAACATAATAATGAATCTCTAATGCACTAATGGGAAGTGATAAACCATATAACACGTACATTAAACTTGTAGTGTCTGGTAATCCCTCCATGCTTTGCAAGTGCTAGTGTATCTGCTAAAACCAACACAAATATAGTCAGAAAAAAGAGATTATAACACTTCAGAAAAGAGTACGCCATGTGTCAGATTTTTTTGTTTCTTCTTGTTTGGATATATATATATATAGATGATTAGTGAGTTGAAATCTAAGTTGCTTTGGATGGTAATGAAAATGGAAGATTTATATATATTGTGAGCGTTTGGTCAATTAGGTGGTTAAATAGGGAATTATAGACTCCAAATTGACCTGCTTAGGGTGTTGGCCTAACCAAACTTTTGAGTGATGTTCAAGTTTGATAAATATTCTGTTATTGTGTTCATATTCCACATAACGCGCGGTTTCTCAATGAATTCTGGTGGATGTTTGCAGCTTCTTTTTTCGTTAATTAGGAGTTTTTCATCAATCAAATTTTTACAAGAGAAGAAAATTACTCCCTCTGTTTCAATTTACCTTTTATGCAATGATTTATAGTCACACAAAATATATGTGCCTCATTTTACACCAAAAGTTTAAAAATCTTTTCTCTTTTCTTAAACTCCGTGCCCAGTCAAATAGGTTCACGTAAATTGAAACGGAGAGAGTATAATTTAACGAATTCTTTCTTTTCTTTTGATAGCTAGATACTAATGTCTATGAATTAATATATNGACGAGACAATTCAATTATAAGATGTTACTTTTAATTTTTCTAACATTGTGGCGGCTGCCTCAGTACCCCATAACAGCATTTTCAATCTTGATTACGACAAGACAAAAAAGGAATTCGTGCATGCATTGCATGGTCATTAATTGGCGAATTGCCCCGCATACAAGAGGCGGAGCTCACTTATTAGCTACGAGTTCGGTCGAATTCAATTAATTTTATTTAAATATTATATTTTTATTACGAAATTTATTAATTTGTACAAATATCTAATTATAAACTTAATAACTAAAATGAGTTATGAGTTCTGTGACAAATTTAAAATTCATAAACTTCAAAGGATTCAAACTATTTATATTGATCGTGTAAGAACACTACCTGCGGAGAATTTCATATGTGATAGTAGGTATATCGGTACTATTTTTAACAGATTATCAATTAATGTTTATCAAGAAATTTGCCTCCATAATACTTAATAAGTAACTTGACAGTTTTGCACGTACACAGTACTTAATCTACTAGTGTTTAGCGGAAATAGAGGAAAATAAAAGTTACATTTTTTGATAAAAAATTAATTTATCAATATCGACGTCGTTTATGACAGCTGCAATCTGTAACTTGGAGTGGAAATTGGAATACTCATATCAAGTTAAAGTGAAGAAAATATTTGGCTAATTCGTGAACCAAAAATTGGCAATTGTAAGTTAATCAGTTGCACTCATTCTCCAACCTTTTAACACTTAAGTACTAATCAAGTCAGGGACTTAATCTTAACTTCATCTTCTGTTAGTTGCTGTCGGTTGTTTGTTTTTCTCAATTGCTGTGTACCTAATAACAACTTTGATGTTTATTGATATCTTTTTTTCTTTTCCTACCTGTAAATTTGTAAAAATTCCAATTAGAATGAACTCATTAAGGCAATAATATACTTCCGAATATGGATGTTATTTGACAGAGGACTAGCTAATTGCCTCTATTCTGTAAACAATGCACCTAGAAAATTTTAAATTCCAAATTTCCAACTGTTGACGCAACCAAAGTAGTATGTTTCGTACTGCGCTGACCCTTCAAAACACCTTAAGCCACAATTTATACCCGGTAAAAATTTATTCACACTAAATGTTTCTTTAAAACGAATAGATATATTAATGTTTATTTAAAATTAATAGATATATAATATGTGTTTGTATAAATGTTTAACTTGCCATCTGGAGCGACAAAAGATGCCAAGGGGCTGAAGATTACTCCTTGGTGGCCGGCGCCACTACTTCCTCCGTCGGTAAAGTAGAAGAAGAAAAAAGTTCAGTGAAGGCTAAAAAACTAAGATTATCATAATCGGTCAAAATATAAACGGTGGTCTTAAAGAGGTCGACCCAACCTAATTTTGTGTTTTTGCAATTGTACTTTAGATGCTGCTTATTAAGAGGTGCATAACATGTTCATGTTATTTTGATAAAAACACCTTCTACCCGAAACAAAGAGAAGAAAATTAAAACACCTTCTTAACTAAACTCTCTAAGAAAAATGCGGAGCTTATAAATTTTCTTTTGGGGCTATGTTAGTTTGTTTGAAATTAAGTACTATTGTAGAAGAACAAGAACTTGGGACAGTTCTGCCTAAGACTTTTAAAAGGAGATAGGACTAGGAAGATTGTATTGCTTTTTCATTTTAATTAATAAAATTATCACTTATTGGACCTCTTTTTTTTTTTTTTTACATGATGAGTTGAGATTTGGTGGATTCACGACATTGCAATTCCAGTTATGAACGCTTAGTCATTAGGATATGTTCTCGAGGACTGAAATCAAAGATTTAAATTAACAAATACATTTAACCATTTAAGTCGGAAAAAAAATTCTTTTATAAAAGCACTTCTATATTTTTCACACCATATTGTAAATGTACTTTAAAGGATATAGACGTCAATTACTTTGGATGCAAGAAGTATAAAATGATATCCACACATAACAAAACCAAAATGCTGAAACATCAACGATCGAGCAAAAAATGATAGGTACAAAAATTGTACAAAATTAAACTCTCAACACTTGGGGAGGTCTCTTGGGGGAAGAGGTAGCTTCTGATTAGGAAGTTTTCCATCGAGAACCAACCATGCCATTTTCAATCCCCAACTTGTATGAACTTCCAGGTGACAATGCATAAACCATACTCCTGATTGTAACACAAACAACATTATATCGGATTGATACTTAGACTTATAATTGAATGAATGATATTACTAGACTTTTTAATTGCAAAACTTTTAAATTACCTGGATTGTCTGCTAGAAATCGAATAGCAACCCAACCACCAGAAGGGACACCTACAGTATTCCTCTCAATAGGATCAGCAAGGTTGAAATTTGCTGGATCCTTATTGCCGTCAAAATTCCCAAACCCTTGGCCAACAACAAAGAAGTTAAATCCATGAAGATGAAGAGGGTGACTTTCAGCACCAAGAATACTTGTGTCTTGCATCACTAACTCCACGCTCGTGTTAAATGGCAAAACCATAAGTTTTGTATCATTCTTAACTAAGGTGTTATTTGGAGGGTTCCCAGTGTAGTTAAACCAATTTAAAGGACTATAAGGAAAATCAGGCTTGTATACACCCTTGGATTGTCCTAAGAAATGAGATTGGAGAAGTGCAGTTGTAGGTTGAACAAATGATATATTGTTAACTGAAGCTGAGAATTTTGTGCCATTTGGTCCTTGGCAAGTTTTGTTTTGATCACAAGGACTTGTTCCAAGACCTACTGTGAAAAATAAATGTTTATCGACGTTTAGAGGTACATTAGCAGGGAAATGAGGAGTAGCAAGACTTCTTAATCTACTCGTAAAATTGGTGACAAAAGTGGTGTCATTGAGAGCTGGTAGTAATGGCTTAAAAAGTGGTAGGTTTTTCAAATGGGGTCTTGATTTTGATTCATACTCTAAAATTCCAGCAACTGTAGAGTTGTCAAATGTGCCAGGACCTGTCACATATGGCCGAGCGGTCATGTAAAATGTGGCATTAGGAAAATGAGGTTTAGTTTTGAGAAGAACATTGTGAGTTTGTCCTGGAGTAATAATAAGTGTGTCTGTCTCAAAGGGTTTAACATAAACGCCATCAGCATCGATAACTCGAAGAGTATGATTCGCAATGCTGAAGAAAAGCTCATCATTAAGTGCAGCATTGATCAATCGAAGAAGATAAGTCTTTCCAGGTTTCACCTTCAGCTTAAAAGTATCTGTATAAAGCACATTCAAATGTGTCAATACTTTTTGCTACAATGACTATAAGAATAATTAAACAATTTTTCATAGTGATATTTGAAATTATATGAAATTTATTTGAATGTTACCTATATTAAATGGCAATATCCGATCGATGACAAATTTTATTTTCGAATAATAAATTAGAACTATGTAAGTATATACTCCAAGTTGTGTCATTCATTTTGGAAAGGATTACAAAATATATTTAACAATAGCATGGTAACTATATAATATAAAGTTTACTACCTTTGGCTGAACAATTATACAAAGGGCCAGGAAGTCCATTGATAGTATAGGCATCAGAAACATTAGGACCTCCACCTGTTTGTAAAGCTTGGGCAATTATAGCCTCAGTGTCTGCATTGAACCATTCGCCTGTGACATTGCATTCATCAGTTCATCATTAGTATATTAATAACTTCCTATAGACAAATTAATTAATGATCACTTATTACCAAAGATGATGGGAACTTCTTTGTAGGGTTTGGCAAATGGATAAGGAGTATTTTTCTTTGGAAGAATAATTATAGGACCATAAACAGTTGATCTCAACCATGAAATATGTGCATGCCACCAAAATGTTCCTCTTTGGCCAATTATAGTGAAGTTATAGACATAACTCTGACCAGTTTGAATGGGACATTGTGTTATATATGCTGGTCCATCTGCCCATCCACTACGAAGCTGTCTAATTCCATGCCTATTGTAGGAACAAGAATATCATTAAGCTTTGGAGAGTTTTTCAAGTTAATTTGTAAGAAGAAAATCTTACCTTTCTTACTTTGTAAACTTCCTTTTCTGCTGTTGTTCTATAAGTGCATGGAAGTCATGTATATATAGATGTTTGCCGGTGATTTGGTGAAATAAAAAATAAAGGGATAATATTGAAGAGAAAGGTGAAGAAGAGAATAGCTTGNGACACTCTTAAACGTGAATTGCATGAAGATAATTAAGAAATTCTTATGATTACCAATGGATAGAGATGTTGTTCTGAACATGATTGAGCACCTCAATTTCAAGACGATCACCTTCCCTTGCCACAACTTTAGGTCCAGGGAATTGTCCATTCACTGTCACCATACTCTTGGTGTGGCATAATCTTGTAACATTTTGCATTTTGATCTGAGATTTAACCCAAAGGGATGAAAATTGTGGCCATGGTACTGTTAGTCATGCTAACTCTAAACACAAAACGATAGTATACTATCTGGTCGTCTAAAAGAAATTTATATATAATTAATTATCTATAATAAGAGAGATTGGTAAACTAGATAATGCTAATTCTACACATAAAATGATTACATATATAGTTGTAAAAGAATTTTAATACCATCGGGTCATTTAAAAGATTTTTGTATTGAAATATTACTAATTAAGGCTTGTAACCTGCTATAACATGTTAAAATACACCGGTAACATAAAATTTTATAATGTCAATGTATATAAATTAAAATCCAACGATATAGAAGAGGAAACTGTGTAATAATTAATATACGTACTTCAAATTTATAATGCCTTGTTGTAGCTGAAACGCTATGGATCAGGAGACATGATGTAATGAGAGAGACAAGACATATTCCAATAGCGCCCATTTTTGCACAGAAAATCTCTTTGCTTTTTCTTTCTTTGTAAAGTTATCTTGTTGCTGTTGTTGCGGAAGTGCATGGAAGTCATGTATATATGGACTTTCATAGGATGTTTGGTTGATTTGGTGAAATAAAAAATAAAGGGATAATGTTGAAGTGAAATAGATTGATTCTAAGCTAACTTTGGTTAGACCAAGTGTAGTTGTAGAACAAACTTTGGAGTGGTGTCAAAGACTACAGATGTGTATAGTATATTTGACATGCAAATTTTCATTTTCTGTAGACTTTTCCTTAGATTAATTAAGGCTTCATAGACAGCTAGCTAACTATAGGCATGATTTTGACAGTCTTCCATACAGAAAGATGATCGCTTGAGGAAAAAGATTTTATGCATTACAAGCATTGTCATTATCAAAATACTTCTTCGTTAGAGTCAGATACGGATTTAAAATTTTTAGAACATTGAGTATATCGTTAAAAAAAGAAAAAAAAATAGTATTAAGTGGAATTGATCCCTATTCCTTTAGCTAAATATATAACTCAATATTCAATCAAATGCACATTCAACCTTTTTGGAGTATAGGCCATCAAATAATATTAGACCAATGTAATTCCATAATCTGGGCATAAATCTGCCCCTGGCTGAATTAGTATATGAAAGATCTTTGAGGCCAATGGGGATTCAAATATTTTCCTTTTGATTTTTGAGAAAATGACCTTCTATAGCCCCTCAAAATTATAGTAGCCCATATTTTTTCTCATTGACACGAAATGGCTCTCCGACCTAAACATATTACATCTAATAGCCCGAAATATCTATTTTGTATATTATTTGTATATTGACAATCTATTTTGTATAATTTTTTGTATAGTGACAATCTATTTTGTATATATTTTGTATAGTGACAGTCTATTTAGTACGTATAGTTTTTGTCTAATGACAGTCTATTTTTGTATATATTTTGTATAGTGACAGTCTATTGTATATAACTTGTATAGTGACAGTCCTATACAATTCCTCTTGCTTTCTTTTGTTTCTAGTTGGTTGTAATAGATTTGCCTACAACCTTGAATTAATGTAAACCTCATTGGTTAAGGTATAGAAGCTATATACAGAATTGAGTAAGATGACACGTACAACATTTGCATCATAAATCAAAACTCCAAAGGTGTCATAATGCTTATGAATGTGAATATTTCATCAACAATGTACAATATAAAGAAAGCAAAGAGTATTTGTTCGATAAACAATGGACTTTGTCGCCTCAATCTGTCATACCCTTTTACCTAATATGTTGTTCTGAAAACACATGATACTGTGAGTACCCAACTAGTATATTTTTACAAAACCTAGAAAAAGACCTAATAGGAGAATACAACTTCCTCCTACAATAGGAGGAAGAGTTTTGAAACTCAAACACCGACGACCCTCCATTAAATCCGGCGACTCTTTCTTCTCGTTTTATTTACTGTTTTGGGGGCTTTTGATATTATGAAAATCTAGATCTAAAAGATGATTTGCTTGCTATTTGGACTTTGGCAGTTTTGGCCGGTATATAGCTTTTCCGATGACCGTGAATTTTTTTACCACTGCTGCGACCGGTGAAGTTTTCCAGTTAAACCATTTTGGGCCGAAAATCTTTTCTCCAGTGAACCTGTGTTTGTGCTTGTAGGTCAGATGTATAATTCGGTGGCTAGCCACTAGAATTATTTTTGGGCTATAAAATATATATTATAATTTTGGACTATCAGGTGTTATAAGTTTGGTCCAAGTGGCTATAAATAAGTTTTGCTCTTGAATTTTTTATATATCGGGGAAAATGAGTTTATCAGTTTGCTAGCGACACATTTATTTCTTTTAAGCAAAACCTCTTCGACAACAGTTGCCAATTTATGAACTTTAAATATTCTAGTCATGCAATAGTTTTTTCCGGAGAAATCGTTCAGTCAACTGATTCCGTCGTTACATCACAAGAAAAATTGTAAGAATGGTGTGTTGGTTAGAAGGAAAGAAAATGTCTTCTAGAAAATAAGTCAATATCTGCCAGTCAAAAATCAATTTTTTTTTATTATATATTATAAGAGGGATAAAAACGACTTTCTTCACCAACGATGTTCATTTGAAATAGTTTCTAAAATTTAGAGAGAGGTATTGAACAGTGTGACAAAGTTTCTTCTGCAAAAAGTTTTTCACCCAATAGAAAGATGGGTTAATTACACTAATTATTCTTATAAAATGATTCAATTTAGTAGTACTTTTTACATTTTAAAATCAAACACGTATTCCCCCTATACTATGGAATACCTACACATATACTCTCTATGAGGTATATCTTAACTAAGTATATTAAAAGATAAAATAATTAGAATTATAAATAAAAAGTTGTTCTTATTTTTATTTTAGTTTGTTTATTTATTTTTCCACTTTAAAATTATCTTATATTTACTTTTAATTTGTTTCATTATATAAGAGGTTTACATATTTTTAGAAAGATAAGGAAAAAATATTATATTTAAGAGTTTTGAAAGATAATATATTGTTTTTTAAATCATAAAATTTCGAGTTATCTCACTAAGTAGTTTTTTTTGTTTCCTATTTGAGTGTTTCAAAAAATACATATTTTACAAACGTTATTCTCTTCTTTAATCAAAGATGCGAGTAAAGAGTTTTAACAAAATAAACTACACTCTTTCTTAAATTTCATAAAAATTAAATACGCAAAAACTTTTATTTATAGTTTTAATTTGTCTTGTAATAATTATATTTTAATATAGGATATACCTCATAAGAGGTGTAACCGTAGGATTTCTATACTATTGGAAGTGTATATGTTTGATTATAAAATACAGGGGTATATCCAAAATCGAGTCATATTGCAGGGTAGCCTGTATGGCCAAACGTCTAAAGTCAGCTTATTTTGAAAAGAACTTTTTTCAAATACTTTTGAGCGGTAATTAGTGTTTGACCAAGTTTTTAAATAGTTTTTTTTAGTATGTTTTTTTCAAAAAGTATTTTTCAAAATAGTATTTTTGGGGAAAAATTACTTTTTTTTTGTTTTTCAAAAATTATTTCTGCTTCTACTTGCAAACACTTTTATTCCTTCTAAAAGTTTGCCAAACAACTTAACTTTGGAAAAAAGCACTGGCTAAAAAAAAATATACTTTTGACTAAAAAAAAAAGCTTTGGCCAAATATGCTATTAATTATATGCATTAACATTGTAAAAGAAAACTTATCGATATAATTTAACATATTGTAACAGATTTGCTTTATTTTCCGGATAATTATCCTCTTATTATAAGCAATTACTTGTCTTTGTGATCTAAGAGAGTAAAAATTCTATGTTAGAAGTCAAACAAGAAAAAAAAAAAAAAAAAAAAAAAAAAAAAAAAAAAAAAAAAAAAAAAAAAAAAAAAAAAAAGAAGCTACCAGCGTATTACTACTACCCCATATTACATGGTGAAAAGAAACATGCACAAACGTAAGTATGACTCTGAATGTTTTCTCTGTTTTTTCAACACTAGAAGAAAACGATGGAGTTACGTTAATACACCACAAGACAGATTTGGAATGAAGCACTTATATAATTGTGGAGAAAAAGAACAAATTATAATTGAAAACGCAAGCTTTAGCTGCTGAAGTTTTCATACTTATTTTGAAATAAAGTAAATACCACTATTACACCCACTGTAATTCTTCCAATTTCCTCAACACGCTTCCAAACAGAAGCAACCATTCACAAAACAGAATTTCATTTTCATTGTTCAAGCTTTTCGCTTTGATAACATAGTAGCCACCAAAGGTAAAAAAAACTCACTAAAAACAATCAATGTACAAATTATAGAATTTCATTTTTCATATCCAAACTTTCAAATTTTCGACCTAGTGCTAACAAACGAGAGAAACAAACTTACTACCAGAACATGTATTTTACAACCTTCTTGACATCCTACACTAACCAATTGTTGCATATTCTACTAACTAAACAGCTAGAAAATTCTAAATATAGAGAACAAAAACAAAGAGAAAGACAAAGGTGAACTAAGTAGGCACAACACTCCAACTAGTTGGAGCAGTAAACAACGACAATTACGTCTCAGTCACAAACAAGTTGAGCTCAGCTATAAGTTGAAACAGTAGTTACAACAAATATGGAGTCAAGATCAGGAGGGTGAAAAAACCCATTCTTGGGCTGTTGTTTCCTCTTCGCTGCTGCTCTGTTCTCAGCCGTCTTTTTCCTCGGAGCCGGTGGACACTCTAATGGCGCTTGTATTCGACATTCTTGGTTTTTTGGGGTTGTACATTCTTCCTCCATTCTACTCATTATATCTTCTCCTTGAAAATATAGTATCCTTAATTTTAACACAAGTATTTGGTAGAGAATATGTGTTTTATATAGGAGGAAAAGAAAAAAAAGAGGACGCGGTTGGAGAGTGTTATAAGAAGAGTTGATCAGAAAATGGTGGAAGTTAATTGAGGAGCAGCCTACGTGGGGTTTGAGTTTGAATATTTGACTTCTATATATCAATAAAGTTTAAAATGTCAATTTCACTTAATTATTATGCCTGTGACAGACAATATAAGAATTAAGTTTAATAGAGATAATATTATACTACTATTATTATTTAAAATTTGATAGTCTAGTGAAATTAATCATAAAAATAATATACTACAATAATATGGGTGATAGAATGATATTATATTACATTTTAGGATTTGCCTTTTAAAATGCATGTCAATTAAAAATGACGTTTGATAACGTTAATCATAAAATTATTTATCTAAATTATTCTACATGTTATTTTTCTTTAATATTTTGAATATCATAGAATAGATTTAGTTTGTCGAAATAATTAATATCATAGATTAGTATTAAAATTCATACTACCATTTATAGGTACAAAAAAATGCAAATTATTTAAAACAATTAAAGCTAGAAAATTTGGTATTTTCAAACTTAAAATAAAAACAAAACAAAAGGAATTGACAGTTAAGTATGGGTTGGCACCGACTTATGTTTGAGCTGTGTGTGTTTGGAACGTGGCCC